ACACTCTACCTGTGGGCTCTGCCTGTCCAGCATAGGAGTGTCTGATGGCCATGGACAGCCTCTTTTATGTCCCGTAGATCTACTCTTCCCATCAAAAGCACAACATAGCAAGCACTGAACTATTTCTATAGATAACATTTCTAATGCATGGTTGTTTGCTTGATGACATCTGTGTATTTATTGAATTTTCCACAGTTAAGAAAAGAGGGTTTTTCTTTTCAATATTTCTTTGTCATAGGATAATCCAACCAACATTTAAAGAGGTAAAGTGACATCTGTGAGGTTGATTTTCTGAGTCCTTGGGTTCCAACACACAAGTATTTTTCTTCCATGAGGAAGTAAATGGATCTACTAGCTCCACCAGGGAAAGTTCATTTATGTGGATACTTTGTAAGGATAGAAAAATAATAGGTAACTGCGTCAGAGAGAAGTAAGGGACTCAGGCACTTTCCTTATACCTGAACAGCTCTGGTTTGTTTCCCTGTACCGTGTTTGGTCCCGAGAGCAGTTCCAGGAATGACCCCTGAACATGGCCAGGAGCACAACATAACCCCAGTCCTCAGCATAATCAGAGTGCCCCAAACCCTATCCTCCCCACAAAAAAACCAAACAGACAAACAAAAAGAAAAACAGAGACTTTAGCTTTGTGCAGTTAAATATAAGCACACAGCTCTAAGTTTTCAAGGAGTTTGTTTGTGTCTGTGTGTGTCTGTGTGTGTATGAGAGAGAGACAGACAGACAGACAGATAGACAGGCAGATGTAAAGAGATAAACAGAAAGACAGAGTCTTTATGTTTGCAGTTAATAATACCCAAAACCGATATTTTTATATCTTTAGTACTTTAATGAGAGCACATTCTTAAATCCTATTTAAGAATAGGAACCAACCATTTAGTCCAAATATTACAGGAATTTCTCATGGAGTAAGGCCATAAGCGGGGTCCCGGGCAGGTCCGGATGTAGTGGACTAGTTTCTTGTTACCATATAGCAGAGATATGGTGCTCCTGTACCTTCGTTCTCAAGAAGGTGCACACAAAAAAGGCTCAGAGGGTATCCAAGGCCCTGCACCTTTGCAGCCCACCCTCACCCAAGATTACAGTAACATTGGCTTATGTTTCAAAACATTGATGAATCCTGAGATGGGTTTTGGTGAGAAAGAAGGAAAGAGACAAATACCATCCCAATTAAATACAATCATAAAGTCCTTTCTATGGCAGAAAACACTGAAGGTTCAAATTCTTCTTCATTAAGTTGGGTCAGAGAGGAAACAAAAGTTCACTCATTCCAGGATCGAGTGACAGGAGTCAAGAACTGTAGGAATTAGACATTTATTCCAAATATTGCAGGAACCAATGCAGACCAAGGCCTGGGGCTCTTCCAGTTCTTCTGAGTACACTGCACTTCTTGTCACCATCACTGCTGATCAGATCTAGAGGAATTTCGATTAATTTTGTTTTGGGTCACACCCAGCGACCCGCAGGAGTTATTCCTGGTTCTGCAGGGAGGAATCACTTCTAACAGTGGTTGGGGGACAATATAAGATGTCGGGGATTGAACGCAGGTCTGCCACATGCAAGAAAAGAGTCTTACCCACTGTACCATCACTCTGGCCCCAAGATCCAGTGGGGAATCTTTTTGCTCTGCAAAAATACGGAATAAGAATAATAGACATGGGGAAGGGAGGGAATTTATATTCTATCAGTGAAATATAAAGGGACGATTTGCTAAAGCACATAGGTATGAAAATATTAAAAGAGAAATATTTTAGTGATACCAATATGTAGTAAAAAGGTTTGGCATTTGACATTTTTTTTGCTTTTTGGGTCACACCCAGCGATGCACAGGGGTTACTCCTGGCATTGCATTCACAAATTACTCCTGGCAGTGCTCGAGGGGACCATATGGTTTGCTGGGAATTGAACTCGGGTTGGCTGCGTGCAAGGCAAATGCCCTACCTGCTGTGCTATCATTCTAGCCCCGGTATATGACATATTTTAACAGGTATTTTTACTTGCGTTAGTATCTAGAACACAAAGCATTGGCTCACCCAGTTATACTTAAAGTTGGGTATTGTGGACATATTTTAAAATAAGTTACCAAATTGAATTGTTTTAAAAGTGAATATATGACTTAAAGGTATTTCATGTAATTTTAAATGCTAACTCATTTCTTTTGGAAAGTTTACACTAGATCAGTATTATGATTTTTTTTATCCTAATCCTTTAGAGCGCTCTCACCCTGCATCAGAAATCATAAGCCATTTTAATTTTATCTGAGCAGCCAATCTGCAAAGAAAATGTAGTGCCTTGAAGAATAAACCGGAGGCTGTAGGAACTAGATTTACAGTTGCCGTGTTTGTAACCTAAAATAAAATCACAGCTCTAGTAAATCCTAACTAAAATAAACCAACAGAAGTTTCCATGAATCTCAGGAAAACAAGCATTAAGGTAAGGTAAATTTGTAGCATTTAGTCTTTTTTCCAAAGAGGCAAAAAATTACATTATTTTCAACAGAAGAGTTGTACCTGAGGCAGAGAAATATCCTCAAGAGTCCAACCATGACAGAAAAAATGCTGAGTCACCAACAGTTGGCAATCTACTCTTTCTTTGCCAAATTTAGCACTCAGAGCTTTCTTTGCTTTTCCTTGGTGTACCGTTCAGATATCACTGAATAGTAAAAATAGAATTTCAGCTATTTATATTTTTCAATTAAAACAATTTCTATCCTTCAGTGACACTGATTTTGATTTCCATGTCTTTATTTTATTTATTTATTTATTTATTTTTTAGTGAATCACCATGGGGTACAGTTACAAACTTAGGAACTTTCGTGTTTGCATCACAGTCATACAATGATCGTTTACCCATTCCTCCACCAGTGCCCATTCTCCACCACCAATGTTCCCAGCATCCCTCCCACAACCACCCACAACCCCCACCACCCCACCCCGCCTCAGTGGCAGGTCATTCCCTTTTATTCTCTCTCCTTTTGGGTGCTGTGGTTTGCAATAGAAGTATTGAGTGGCCATCGGGTTTGGTCCATAGTCTACTTTTGGCACACATCTTTCAATCCAAATGGGTCTTCCCAACATCCTTTACTTGGTATTTCCTTCTCTATCTGAGCTGCCTTTTCCCCCAGCATGTGAGACTGACTTCCAAGCCATGGAGCAATCTTCCTGGTCCTTATCTCTACTATCCCTGGGTGTCAGTCTCCCATTCTGTTACTTTATATTCCTCAGATGAGTGCAATCTTTCTATGCCTGTCCCTCTCTTTCTGACTCATTTCATGGTACTTAACATGGTACTTTCCATGTTGATCCACTTATAGGCAAATTTCATGACTTCATCTTTTCTAATAGCTGCATAGTATTCCATTGTATAGATGTACCAGTTTCTTTAACCAGTCATCTGTTCTTGGGCACTCAGGTTTTTTCCAGGTTTTGGCTATTGTAAACAGTGCAGCAATGAACATACAAGTGCAGATGTCATTTTGACTGTACTTTTTTTTGCCTCGCCGGGATATATTCCCAGTAGTGGTATTGCTGAGTCAAATGGGAGCAAAATTTCTAATTTTTTTGAGAATCGTGCATACTGTTTTCCAAAAGGTCTGAACCAGTCAACATTCCCACCAGCAGTGAAGGAGAGTCCCTTTCTCCCCACATCCACGCCAGTACCCATTGCTTTTGTTCTTTTGGATGTGGGCCAGTCTCTGTGGTGTGAGATGTTATCTCATTGTTGTTTTGATCTGAATCTCCCTGATGATTAGTGATGTAGAGCATTTTCTCATATGCCTTTTAGCCATTCCAATTTCTTCTTTGAGAAGGCTTCTGTTCATTTCATCACCCCATTTTTTGATGGGGTTGGATGTTTTCTTCTTGTGGAGTTCAACCAGTACCTTGTATATCCTTGATATCAACCCCGTATCGAATGGGTATTGGGTGAATATCCTTTCCCAGTCTGTAGACTGTCTTTGTATTTTGGTCACTGTTTCTTTTGAGGTGCAGAAGATTTCCATGTCCGAGTATCTGGGATTAGAGAGACAAAAATCACCATGTTCCATTTGGATATAGAAGATAAAGGGCTGTGATGGCTTTGATAGCCCTATAAGAAGAGTTAATTTTAATTATTTAAAATAGTAATTAAGATGCAGCAAAGGACTCTAAAACAGTGACGTACCTCAGCTTTTTCCCAATTGTGACTTCTTCCAAGTGTGTTTCCTGCTCTTGGCTTTCTGTCCTACTGGGCAACCCCCAAATCTCCTGAGTGTCCCCCATTGATGTGATTTTCAGCTGGGGGCTAACTTGCAATATATTGGGATCCTCAGGGAGCCAGATGGCTCCCAGTTGAGAAAGGATACTCTGAAACACTGCTTACAGGAGCAACCTATTTTTTTCTTAGAACTTCTTAGAGTTGAGAGCTGGTTAGGATTTTGACAGAATAGGACAGTCCTTTCTGGAAAGTTGGTGGGATATTTTATTGCTTTAGAGTCTAATAGTTTGGTGCTTCTTGAGATACTTCAAACCATAGCAAAAGTATATTCTCTCTCTCTCTCTCTTTAATTTCTTTTTGGGTCATACCCAGCGATGCACAGGAGTTAGTCCTAGCTCATGCACTCAGGAATTAACACTGGTGGTGCTCAGGGACCGTATGGGATGCTGGGAATCGAACCCAGGTCAACCTCATGCAAGACAAATGCCCTACCCACTGTGGTATCTGCTCCAGCCCCAAGTATAGACTTTCTTAAGGGACACAAGTGCAAAAAAGAAATACTGCCTTCAAAAACCTGTGCCATGATGCCTGTGTGCATGTGGTGGGCTGCATGGGCACCAGACTAAATCTATGCCAACATCTCTGTTGCTGTGAGAAAAATATGTGACCTAAAACAGTCATTCAAAAAAAAAATCAATTCCCCTTCAGGAGAGCAGACTGTACATTAGCGTTGGTGGTGTGACTGGGTTGGTTCCTTCTGTCTTAATTGGGCGCCTGTCTCTCTCTTTCAGGATCTAGATTTCTCATCACATCCACGGGAGCCTTGTATATTAAAGATGTACAGAACGAAGATGGATTATATAATTACCGCTGCATCACGCGGCACAGGTACACCGGGGAGACGAGACAGAGCAACAGCGCTAGACTTTTTGTATCAGGTAAAAACTCATCAGGACGCGTTTGTTCCTTATGTGTGTATGTTCTGTCTCTGACAATGGTGCCAGCGCCCTGTACTTCTTGAGAACTGGGTTGGATATCTGTGGAACTCCCCGTCTGTGCCCATAGTATGTCCACCGCTAAGCTGAAGGGCTATTCACACCCTCACTGCCTCCAAGGACTGTTCTCAAGTGCGTAATAAACCCAGAGTCCTTGAGTGTCCTCAGATCAGTTTCTGCTTTCTCGAGGGATTATATGTCAAGGAAACATATAACCGTTTGTATCATCTTCAAAATTGGCTTCGGAATGGCTCTCTGGCAAATCGGTGAGCCATCCGTCCACCCACCCCTGGGGTGAGGTCTTGGCACTTCATGGAGAAGTCCAGGTTTATAACATATCTGCTCTGGTGATAGAAAATCAGATGCTAATTATCAAACCTTGGCTGCTGGAGTTCTAGAATAAGAAATGGTGTCCTGCAGTGCCCTGTGTATGGTGGTGATGCTTTGTGAGGGGCAAGAAGCTTGGCATGAGAGTCATTAAAAGCATTGTCAGGCCAGGGAGACAGGACAGGGTGGGGGGCTCACCTTTTGAGTATGGGACCCTGGTTTGGTCTCCAGCAACCCTTGACCTCCCCTCTGTAGCTCTGAGGCTCCTGAGAATGGTTGGGATGAACTTGGTGTTCCTTGGTACCATGGAGCTCGAGGACACCGCATCCTTGGGTCCCAGCTTTCAACCCTATATGGTCTAGTGGACATAAAATTCACAGAGCACAGTTGGGGAGGTGCTCCTTAGCCCCCACATCCCCCCAAAGAGAGTCATCTGCTGTCATGATCCCAAAAGTAACAGCTGGATTAGGACCCTGCTAGGGTTAGGGAAGATTAATCTGGCCTGAGCACTGTAGTCTGAGATCTATAGCGAGATATTCCCAGGAGAGCCACCCTACATGCTTATTATATTTCTTACTGTGTCCATATAAAGAGGATATTGCTCTGAATTTACTATGCAAAGGGCTTAAGGAGAAGAGAAAAACAATATTTACAAGTTAACAGAGTCTGATTAGGAGATAAACGTGATTGACCGGTTGGGAAAGCAGAGCACAAAGAAAGAGGTTGCAGATAAACACAGAGGAATAGGAGCACTGTGATGGGAGTAGCCCACTAAACCTAAGCTCCCTGCTGCAAGGCAGAAAGGACAAACCAATGTTATCCTACATTCTTGGGTAATTTTTTTGGATCTGGTTTCTCAATTCTCATCCTCAAAACAAACAAAGCCTACTCTACCTCAAAGTCCAGCACGCATATAAGTTAGAAATGAGTGATTTCTCCACTGAACTTAAAAAATACCTTTTCTTCAATGACTGGAGAAATAGTAAAAGGGATAAATCACTTGCTTTGCAATGTAGATGATGCTGATTCGAGCCTCAACTCTTGGTTTTAAAAGTATTAGTTTTTGTTACTTCTGTAAATGGTCTGACTGGTGCTTACAATAAAAAATAAATAATGAATAAAATAAATCAATAAAACTAAAAAACTGAAGAGTGAAATGAATTAAAAAATGGAATTGGTATTTATTACCCAAGCCTTATAACCTTAATGAAGACACTGTGTTCTATGTGTTAGGAATAGCTCACAAGAGATCTTGCTTGCACTGAAGAGGAACTTCATAATGAAATCACTGAGACATGGGGGTGCTCGGGTACAGAGGGAATCTGGGCTGACGATGGCTGATTTGATCTTAGCAAGAAAGACTATTAACATTTACCATCCACAAGAACTGAATCAAGTCATCATAATCATAATAAAGTCCATCTTTATTCCAAGAAACAGTTAAAAAGGAAACCCAAGAAGGGCAAGAAACCTGGGGGGAAATGCCTCAGACAGTGACCTTGCTTATGCTAAATTGTACTTGTGTTGAAATTTAACTTAGGGTTTAAAAGGCACATTCACTTTTCATAATCCCAGGTTCCTTTATTTTCAAAGAAATATTCACTGATGTTTCAGAATTGACAGCCGGACCCAAGAGCATTTGGTTGCCATGGGAGCAAAGGGACTTGAAGAGATGGATTGCTTGTGAGTCTGGTGCAGGGTAATGAGTGAGGTATCAGCTCCGAAGCTACTGAATAAATGCCATAGATGGAGGCTCTAGCAGAAGAGAAGGCAGGGATAAAACTCACATAGGGAGATAAAGTTGTAGCCCTGTTTCTTTACAAAGGACGACGTATCTGGAGTCCCATGTCAGTTTCAAGATTGGGTGGCAAGTAAACCTTGATTTCCTGTCACAGAAATATCAATAGGTAGTTGAGGGTGAAACTTGATTTCAAATGGGAAAAACAGAGACCCTGAGGACAATTTCCTATTCTAGAAATTCCAAGTTTTCAAAGAAAAGAGAAATTGGTTTATTTAAATTAGACTTAAGTCTATGAAAAATGTACATGATTTTTGGCAACTGTGTTAAAGGACTATTACAACAAGGTTTTGATTAATCCTGGAATCTTTCTGAAACCATAACAAATCAAATGGTACAATGACAACAAAGCACATGCGTGGTATCTCTAATAACTTCAGATGGTGTGAAATCCTCAAGAACTCTGCTGGTCAGCTTGGAAGGCTTGCCCATAACTACAGGGCCAGTGGTGGGAAACAGCTGTACAGGAGCAGGCTAGGTGCTGAAGAGGGAAGGTGTGTTTGGACCACTCCAGATCCAAAGTTGCACAAAAGCCAGCAAACACTCTTCACCCAAGTCAGAGGACCATAAGACTTCTCACAACTCGGGGATGACCAGTGTGAACTCTAAACTGGAGATGATGCAGAACCACCATGACAGCAGGAAGGCTTGATCACCCAGCTCAGTGGTGGGTTAAGTCCTCCAAGAGCTCCAAAGCATACAGCAAACCTTCCTCTCAGAAGAACAAACACTCACCTTATGAGGAAATGACTTGACTTGGGGACCAAATTGATGCAGGGCAGAATAGTAAGATTAGCCCAAAGAGAAGGTTCAGAGAGCTCAGAAAGTCCTATAGGAATTGTGGTCTCTGCAATGAAATGAAAAATGTGGCATGAAAATGTGAGTGTGTGTCCTTAGAAAGCAAATAACTCACTCATTGATCTAGGAGAGATGTGACTACAGGACAGTCATTCTACTAAAGCTCTGAGATGTGGGCTGCATTTTGAATCCTCGAGAGTAATAGCAGAGAGAGGTTGGAGAATCTTACCCATGTGTCCATTCAGGCAGGAAGCTTAAAATTAATAATACTATTTCGTTTTGAAATAGAAGAAAGAGAAATAACTAATGTCACACAGTGTTTTTTTTTTTTTGCCAGGAATGGACCCTGATGAAAGGGCCAGGACAGAGTCCTAAGCATTTGTGGTACAAATCGCTCCCCCTGCCACACAAAACTCACTGTCACTGTCCTCCCGTTGTTCATCGATTTTCTCGAGCGGGCCCAGTAAAGTCTCCATTGTGAGACTTTTGTTGTTACTGTGTTTGGCATATCGAATACATCACAGTAGCTTGCCAGGCTCTGCCTTGCAGGCGAGATACTCTCGGTAGCTTGCTGGGCTCTCCGAGAGGGGCGGAGGAATCAAACTCAGGTCGGCCATGTTGGCTGCATGCAAGGCAAACGCCCTACCCGCTGTGCTTATCGCTCCAGGCCTAACTATAACTCATGTTATAAAAATTAAGTTAAAAGTGCTCATCATCAAAGAACAGACACAACAGAAAGCATAATTTGAAATGTTAATATACACCCAGATTCCCCATCTTCCAGTAACTTGACAGTTACACCCACCAACTGCTGTGTAATCCCATCAAAGGCCAGGATCCAGAGACTAGAGAACCAAGCTCCCGGAAGAGAACAACATAGAGTCTCCTGCCCCCACACCTGGCTGTCCTCACTGCGGCCCCTTGGAGGAGGGCAGGTTGAGTTTCCCTCTCCACCCTGAGCAGAACCCTGGCAACTGAAGACCTCCAGGACCCAGCCACAGCCATGCTGAGACCACTCTCCACATGCTCAGACGAGCCTCATGCATGAAGCAACTGGCAGAGGAACCCAGATGTGCGGGACCCGGGGCTGAGATCTCCAAGCCTGCTCACTTCAGGACTGGGCCACCTCCACCCAGATCCCCTATCTTCCAGTAGCTAGACAGTTACACTCACCAACTGCCATGTAACCCCATCAATGGCCAGGATCCAGATACTATAAAACCAAGCTCCCGGAAGCGTGCAGCCACATTTGCAGCCGCGTGACCTCTTATTCTCTAGTTCTCACTCTCAGAGAACCCAGCAGGCTACCAAAAGTATCCTGCCTGCATATATGCCTCACTGGGAACACCTGCAAAGGTGAATAGAGGCTGCCCCCAAAGCCTCCATCCCTCTCAGAGAGCCCAGCAAGCTACCGAGAGTATCCCGCCCACACTGCAGAGCCTGGCAAGCAACCTATGGTGTACTCGATATGCCAAAAACAGTAACAATGATGGTCCTCATTCCCCTGACCCTAAAAGAGCCCCCAATGTGCCATTGGGCTATACTAACACATGACAGGGATGAATGGAGACGTTACTGGCACCCATTCGAGCAAATCAATGAGCAAAGGGATGATAGTGATAGTAAATATCCGAAGGGCTGGAGCAATAGCACAGCAGTAAGGCATTTGCCTTGCATGCGGCCGGCCTGGCTGAGCCAGGTTTGATTCTTCTGCCCCTTTCAGAGTGCCCGGCAAGCTACCAAGAGTATCTCGCCTGCACAGCAAAGCCTGGCAAGCTACCCGTGACATATTAAATATGCCAAACACAGTAACAACCAGTCTCACAATGGAGATGTTACTGGACCCACTGTAGCAAATCGATGAACAATGGGAGGACAGTGCGACAGTACCGTGTGACAATATCTGAAAGCAAATAAGTAAATCAACCAAATAGGGGGGAGAAAAATTAATGGAAAAATGCAGAGATGAAGGGTAAAGATGATTTAAAAAAAAAACCCACTAATGTGTAATTCGAGCCTCTAAAGAAGAAAATTAGCCCATTGATCAGAAAATATATTTAGAACTATAATTCAAAAGTTTCCTGTAGTTAAAGAATATGGCATTACTCCATGCTGGAACACTGCATTCATACTTTGGAAAATAGTCCCAGAGAGGCCAACATCCATCTGTTCTAATAGAACTCCTGAACTGTACAGATTGGGGGTGGAGGGAGGAGATATTTAAGCATCCAGGGAATAAAATAAAGATGCACTAAGTGAAAAATGAGGAAAATCAATAAAACTTAAAGCAGAGGAAAAGAAAAGCAAAGTCTATAAACACATTTCTTCTTCCTTTAAAGCAACAGTGAAATAGATAAAGGGGCCTAATTTTTAAACTATAGTGGCAATTTACACATATGGATTAGTTTTTTAAAAAAAAATCAATCTCTTATTTTCTAAGTACAATTCTAAAGATGGTTTAAGTTTTTTTTTCTTTTGAAGTTAGTAGAAGCTTCTGTGAAAAGTGACAAAGTCAAAATTCAAAAGAAAGGGACCCTGGAGATAGCCCGGTGGTTTTAGAGCATTTACCTTGCCAGCATCAGGTCAGAAATTCAGTCCCCACTGCTGCTCGACGCTTAACCCCCAGTGACCCAGTGCAACCTGGGTATCTGCTGTGTGTCAGGCCGCCCTTTGGTTGGCAGGCCTCAAAGACGCAAGTGATTTCCAACTGCAGCACAGCCGGGAGTAAGTACACGCCTCAGCTAAAGTGTGCAGCCCCTAGCAAGCATCATAGACCAGAATGGGTATGCACGCACATGGCCAGAAAACGCACGCCCCTCACCCCCACCCCAGAGAACATGGGTGTAATCATCCAACTCAAGGGTGCCACCCCAGACAGAAAGTGGCCAAGCACCCCAGACAAGGGAAGGTGACAGGGGCAGAGGGTGTGAGCAGTGCAACCTCATGGGCAAGCCCCAGAGAATACTGTGATCAAACAAGGGGTGTGAGCCTTGCCCCAGTCACTGCAGTAAGAACAGAAGGAAAGGAGTTGTGTGGAGAGGGTTGGTGAGAGGGGAGAAGAGTCACACAGATTGAACTGGCAGTGACAACTATTATCATGCGGTTGATTTTTGGAGAAAATAAACTTTTCTCATTAGGACCCAGATTTGGGGGGCGATTCTCTCAGGGCAATACAAGGGCTGTTGCTGGACTATCACGTCACGGTCACGGTTCTCCGGTTGTTCATCGATTTGCTCGAGCGGACCCAGTAACGTCTCCATTGTGAGACTTAATTGTTACTGTGTTTGGCATATCAAATACATCACAGGGAGCTTGCCAGACTTTGCCATGTGGGCGAGATACTCTCGGTAGTTTGCCAGGCTCTCCGAGAGGGGCGGAGGAATCAAACTCACGTTGGCCATGTTGGCTGCATGCAAGGCAAATGCCTTACCCACTGTGCTATCACTCCAGCCCCGCTGAACTATAGTCTTCAGTTTATTTCTTTAATAAACTCCCCTAAAATTTAGTTTATTGTAAGACAAATGGGGCTTCCTTGAAGGTTCCTCCTACTGGACATAATCTTTTGAGTTTCATCTAGGTTGGAGTGCGTTTGGACTGAATTCTGTTGCATGTACACAGCTTTGCCTTGGTTGGAGCTAATTGTGTCCATAGGAACTCCCTGTCTAATGGAAGTCCCAAGAGGCTCTGACATATCTCCCAGTTGCACTCTGGAATCTTCCACCTGGGTCGGTGCATTGACCCCAGAGGGTACTGACACAATGGCGCGATCACCTAACAGCACACTTCTTAGACTGTCATTAAGGATCGCCTGATCCTCAGCACTTGGTTGATCCACTTACTCCTTGATGGTATTTGTAGCCCACTCCCCCCCCACCACCACTACCTTTCAGTATGATGAATCACCTTCCCAGGAGTATTTGTGCGCCAGTCTTGGCATGACAGATGGTTTTATTTGTTAGGGTAGACACCTAGAAGAAGAACATTGGAGTCTCATGGGAAATTAAGATTTAACATTCTCTGTTCGACCATATCCTCATGGAGATCAGTGGCCGCTTAAGCGTGTGGTCTGGTACAAGTTCTAAACAGGTCAAATTAGAAGAGAGATCAAGGAAAGGTCATTGATTTTGTTTTTAGCATCCAATTGGGGATCTTTATTTTTACATCCTTCATAATAATCCTAACATCATACCTCTAAGTTCATTACTTTGAACCTCCTGAGCTCAACACTTTGGACATTTTGCTGAGTGTTTTCCTCTGACCTAGTTCTTAAGCACTTTTTATTCTCTCCCTCCCCTGAGTCAAGGATACAGGATATCTAAAAGAAAAGAAGGACCCACGGAGAGAGTCCGGGGACAGAGCATGTGCAAGGCATGTGTTTGAGCTGGGTGCCATCCCTGGCACCAAATGATGCCCCAAGTTGGCAGGGTATAGCCCTTGAGGCTACTGAGCATCTCCAGGTATTGCCCTGGTGCTCATCCCCTGGCTCCGCAGAACCCAAGCAGCTGTTTATTCTCAAACCCTGACACTGGACCTCCAACTCAGTTGGCCAAGTATCACTGGAATTGGCCCTTGGGACTTCTGAATGCCACTTAGAATGAACCCCTCAATTTTTTAAAGATTATACAAAACTAACTTGTACATTGTTTAGAACTTGTGTTTAAAGGATGGCATATTTGATCTTTTAGAAGCTTATCCATTTTTATTTATTTATTTTTATTGGAAAGAACTATAGCACAACCAGTAAGGCATTTGCCTTGCATGCGGCCAACCTGGCTGACTCGAGTTTAATTCCTCACCCCTCTCAGAGAGCCCGGTAAGCTACCAAGAGTATCTCGCCCGCATGGCAAAGCCTGGCAAGCTACCCGTGATGTATTCGATATGCCAAACACAGTAACAACAAGTCTCACAATGGAGACGTTACTGTTGCCCACTTGAGTAAATCGATGAACAATGGGAGGACAATACTACAGTGCTACAGTTTTTATTGAATCACCGTGAGCTACAGTTACAAAGCTTACATGATTGAGCTTCCGTCATACAATGACCGAACACCCATCCTTCCACCAGTGCACATTCTCCACCACCAATGTTCCCAGTATCCCTCCCACCACCCCCACCCCACCCCAACCCCTGCCCCTGTGGCAGGCACCTTCCTTCTTACTCTCTCTACTTTGGGGCATCATGGTTTTCAGTACAGATACTGAGAGGCCATCCTGTTTGGTCCTTTATCTACTTTCAGCACACATCTCCCATCCCGAGTGACCCCTACAACCTAGAAGCTTCTTCTTCTTGCCTGACCTAACTCCTCCCCACTTGGTTAGCCTATTCCCAGAGAGCTGGTCCATGAAGCCCATCTGCAGAGCCCTCCTCTCTCCCCATAGCCCCAAGCACACCTGGGCTCATATTTATAGGCAGTTTTGTATGTCTGCTTCACTGCAGTTCATACATATGGCTTAGCTCCATATTTTGGTTTGCCTGTCCATTGCCTCCCCCACCCACCCACCCATGTATCTGACTGGGGTATGACTCTACAGAACATCTTTCCTCACTGGAGTTCACCTACCTGTGTCCGGCGTCTAATTCCCTGGGCAATAGATTCACATGATATTGTGAAATGAATAAAGGAAATACTTTCAAATTTGGTAGCTATCTCTAAAGCTCTTATTGTGACCTAAAGGTTACTATGATTAGACACACACAAAAAAATGTTTGTGTAGGGCTTGAGGTAATACAGCAGGTAAGGCATTTGCCTTGCACATGGCCAACCCAGGTTTGATTCCCAGCATCCCATATGGTCTTCCGAGCACCACCAGGAGTAATTCCTGAGTGCAAAGCCAGGAGTAACCCCTATACATCACCAGGCATGACCCAAAAAAGAAAAAAATTCTATGTAAGGTTGTGATTTTACATTTTGTTTGGAGGCCATACCCAGTTGTGCATGGAGCAACCCTGCTCCAGTGCTCAGAGTGCATTCCTGCCCATGCTCACGGTACCAGGTGCCATCTGATGTTAGGGACAGAACCCAGGGTTCCGACATACACTCCAGCCCCTGAGCATCACCCCTCAGCGACTGTTGTTACTTTGGAAGGAATGTCTGACTTCTTGTTTGTGTGCTATTTCTGGTCTATGTTTAGCAGGGAATGAGATATAGAAGACATTCTGCATCTATCTATTGCAAGCTCTGTGCGGGAGGGACTTCTATGAATCGGCCATTTTTCCCATTAGTATACAACATATTAGATTGGTATCAAGGGCTGATACGATGAAGAGTGATTAAATTCTCCAGGAGCCTGGTGGCTCTCAATGGCCCCATCCATGCCTCAAGGACATGGGTTTTTCTTCCTTTGCAGACCCAGCGAACTCAGCCCCATCCCTCCTGGATGGGTTTGACCATCGCAAAGCCATGGCAGGGCAGCACGTGGAGCTGCCCTGCAAAGCGCTTGGGCACCCAGAGCCAGATTACCGCTGGCTGAAGGACAACATGCCCCTGGAACTTTCCGGAAGATTCCAGAAGACGGTGACAGGGCTGCTCATTGAGAACACACGTCCCTCGGACTCAGGCAGCTACGTGTGTGAGGTGTCTAACAGATACGGAACCGCAAAGGTGATTGGCCGCCTGTACGTGAAACGTAAGTGACCCTGGAATCTGCAAGGGCAGTACTGCCTGTCTTACTTGGGGTTCTGGTTTGGGGTGTCTCTGGTTTCCTCAGTCTCCTTCAGTCAGTTCTCAGGGCAGACCTGTTGGGGTGCAGATGAACCCCATTTTGTAGATGAGGAAAGTAACAGGAACACATTGCCTAAGGTTTTAAGATCAGAGTTTAGAGTTGGAACTCGGCCTCATTTACCCCTGGAACTTTCCGGAAGGTTTCAGCAGACAGTGACAGACTGCTCATCGAAAACACACATTTTCACAAGACCCCAGGGGACATTTCCTGCCTCACCTGACCTGGCAGCTAACTGTTGCCAGCCCCTCTGAGTGTGTTAAGAGGAAGAGGACCAGTGTGTGTGGTCAGCCCAAGCGCTGGCAGGCACTCCAATGTTGTTCCTCTTGGCCTCTTTCCAGATGCCATTTGAAATTCTTCAATGGAGCTGTTATCAGCAGAAATTTAGCTCTAAATTATTCGACCCTTTGGACCTGGACTCAGTGTTACAGTGTTGAGGACATTTGCTATTCAAGTGATTTGTAAGGATTGTCTTGGAGGATGTGTTGAGCAGTGCTCCCTCTCTGGTCTCTCCCTGTCTTCTGCTCAACTCCTGGCCAAGAGAAGTGGGACAGATGTCAGGGAGGATACTCTTACTAGCCAGACACTGTCCACTTCACTCAGGAAGAAGCCAGAGCATTAGATGTGCATAGGATATGTTTTTATAGGAAACATCCAAAGCATTTGATATATTTGATTTGATTAACTGAGCTGTAGAAATGGTATCATTTTCTAACCCTAATATTTTTTTCTAGACCCATGCTTGTTTATGGAACTGCATCTTTCATGTAACTCGGGGCGTAGACTATTCTAATACAAGTTTTCCCAAGAGAGCATGTTTGAAGAAAATAGCCTATATTGCCTGGAGTCCACTGTGCAGGTTTTCTGTCCATCAAGCTTGGTCAGGGAGCAGAGAGAGAGAGTGGATGGCAGCATCTGCCAAGTTAGAGCTTGATAGCTCAAGAGACTTAAAGGGGAAGTTATCCATGTGGGGTAGCCAGTAAGAATTATTTCAAAGATTACATCAAAAGTTCTTCTCTTTGTTGATATATCTTGCAGGGTCCCCCCACTTCCAATGGAATCAAGTTAATATTTTAGAATATTATCATAAACATCTCAACTAAACCTATCGAGTCCTGTTCCCCATAGTTTTGCTTTAAAATCCCCCGCTCCTGCTGAATCTAACTTACCTCTACTTCCTGTACAAAAGCATTCTTTTCCTGATTGCAAGGCCACATTGCTCTCTCCGCATGAAAGATGCTTTTCAAATGCTTGAATGCGTGCCAGGTTCCCGTTTGAAAGCCAAGGCAGTGCCCTGTCTCTGTTCTCTCCCTGTCTTCTGCTCAGCTCCCGGGGTGCATCCTGTCTTCCTCTGAAAAGGCATTTAGTGCTATCCACATTTTAAAAGTATCTGTGGAAACATCTGACTTCTTTCTTCTTTTCATTCTTGTACTTTCCTCCCGCATTGAGACAAGATTGCAAATGACTCTGCGGCATCCTGTCTCTCTCGTTTGATAGCTTCTAGGTTTTGTCTCTCTCTCCTTTACACAGAATGCATTCTCTTGGCTTCTGACTTCAAAATTCCCTCTGATTTGATTGCTTCCTTTTGCTTTTGATGTCCTATGTAATTTCTAAAGCTATCAATTCTACTTCTATGACAAATTTCACCCCAGTTTTCTTCTTCTTTTAGTTAAAAATTATTGTGATAAAATACTTGTGATAGAGAATTGACCATTTGGGCTATTTAGTTTGATCACTTTTATTTTTTTTACTGTCTTGCTTAGGTTAAGATGATATGGAATTAAAGTCTATAGCCTCACCTTTATTTGTGTGGGCTCTGCCCCTTTCACCACCAAAGTCCCACTATTGTTCCACTACCAAGAGGACCCCTCGACTCATCCCTTCCACCATCTATCATTTTCCCTCAATAGCACATAGTTTCCATTGAGTCTGTGAATTATTATTGTTCTTGTCAGTCATTGTCTTTAGCAACTGATATGCCATATATGGGTGGAACCACATCTTTCATTTTTTTTTTATTTCACTGAACATGGTGACCTCAAAGTCCATGCATTTAGTCCCAAAGAAAAAAGTCCCATTTGTTTCCATGGCAGAGCAAAATTCCATTTCTTTACCCAGTCACATGTCGATGGCCATCAAGGTGTATTTCATGTTTCACTGTCATGGAAATGCTGCAGTGAACAGAAGAAGAGTGATATCCCTCAAAATCAGATACATTTGTCTTCTTCATTGAGTGGCAGAGAGCAGTGATCCCAAGGTATTTATTTTATTTATTTTTACTGGGAGAATGGATCTCACCCAAAGGTGCCCAGAAGTCACTCGTGGTGGTGTTTAGGAAACCCTGTTCAGTGTCAGATATTGAGCTGGGATCGACAAGTGTATGACTAGCAATTAATCCCTGTACTATTGTCCTAGCCCTATAGGGCACATTTAAAGAGCAGAATCCTCGCCACCATCTCTTCTTTGCTATTGACTGACTCTCTATTATTGGAGACATGTCACCATCCCATGGACCCTCAACAGCAAACTTTAAATCTTGGTTCCTCTGTAAGCCTTTATTTCCTATATCCAAGTCCCGCCATTCCTAGACATGGTGTCTCTCTGTCTGCTCTGTGCTGCTTCCTCTGCTCTGCCTGAGATCAAGTCATTATTGTACCACAAGAAGATATTGCAATGATGCTTCTTTTGCTGACTTAACTTTCCCCACTCCAGGACATCCAACACAAGAAAATCTATCCATTCCCCTAGATATTGTTTTCTGATAGCACTCATTTACTACAAATCCTCTATAGCTGCCTGTTGTTTTTTCTGATTAAATCTCCAAATCTCCAGATCCTTTTTATTCCTGTCCTGGAGTACAGTTGCCATTTTTTCCCTTAAACTATTTATTTGGAGACTCTGTCTCCATGAGAATCAAATCAGGAACTGCTAGTGAGCTGTGGCTGTCCGTCCTTCTCCAATCCATACTCTTCTGCTCATTAAATGCCTTCTCATGTCAGTGGGTCTACTGTCCATTCTTGAGATCTGAGAGTGTCTCAGGGATCCCTGTCCATCCCCTGATGCCTTATACAGCTCTTCAGTGAACCCAACATGAGTGTGGATCATTTAAAGACATTTATTTGGCACCATGATTTATAAAGCTCTCAATAACAGAGACTTGGGCATTGAATGCTCCAACTTCAAATCTATCACCATTATCAGCATCCCCTGACCAATGGACCCCAGGTTCTCCCCCTCTCCTCTGTCTTCTTAGCAAGCGGATTTTTTAAAAACAAAATACAATACACACACACACACACACACACACACACACCACTTATCCTTACTTGGGTTACATATTTACAAAAGTGTTGACTGTTCTTATGGTTTTGATATACATAGTTACTTTACCTCTACATCACCAAATTGACCAAGACCCTTGACAAGTACCAGTCCACCTTCTCCTCCCTCTTGTACCACCTGCCCCTTTTCTATTGTCCTTGACATTCACATTTATGCAACCCAGGGCCAACAGTCTTCCATCATTTGATACCTTCATTCCCTTGTCACAGATGAATGAGAACTTACGGATTTTTGTCCTTCTCCCTCTAACTAACTTCACTTAACATGATGTTTTCCAGTTTAGTTAGCTTGCAGCTAAAGGCATCACTTCATATTTTCCTTATGTCTGCATAGTATTCCATGTTTAATCTGTACCCCAACTTCTCTTCCAACTGACAACGTCTATTATTGCTTCCATATCATCTCTTTCCATGTCTATTATTGCTTTCATATCCTGGCTATTAAACAATGTACTGCAATGAACACAAATGTGTGAATATCTTTTCAAATTAATATTTTTGTGTTCTGTTGGATAGGGGCCAAGAAGTGGAATTGCTGTGTCATATAGGAGCTCTATTCTTATTTATTTAAGAGATCTCCATATTATCTTCCAGAGAAACTGAGCCAGACAACATTCTCACCACCTTGGTTCATTCTTACATCTCTCTTTCCACTTAGAAGATTAAATTCCTTAAGCACAAAGATTTCATCTTCAAATGTCAAAAATCAGGAATAACTAGGGTAGAGAACTGGGTTTTGCCATTTGCCTATTGAATACATTTGGTTAATCACTCTGATTCAGCATTTCGTCTTCTGTAAAGTGGAGATGAAAACAAGATGGGCCGGACCAAGAGGACTGAAATAGCATACAAAAATGCCTAGTAACTTTCAGGCGCATACCTTCCCATACTCTTCTATTCATTATGGTCTAACATGTGAGTCGTTCCTGACCCTGGGCCTGTATTGGATGTTCTAGAAACAATTGCTGGCATAAATTGGGTTTATTGAAAAGAAACATTGGACCTTCTGTTCTTGTTCAGAGCAGCAGCTAGCCTCATTTTAAGAAAAATACCTCTTTTCATGGTCACAGATGATTATACTAGTAACTTGTTTTCTTACAGGTTAAGCTACAGTGTGTGTGTGTGTGTGTGTGTGTGTGTGTGTGTGTGTGTCCCAGAACAAACCCCTCAGTGCCATCTTCGGACACTCAGTGCACTAGGATTTCCCATCCATATGTTCCCAATAATATAGGAGACCAGTGTAATGTGTTGATTTTGCCTGTTGGGTAATCCCCCCATTTTGTCAGTGAGAAGGTAAGCAGACCACTAGTGCCTTTGCTTCCTGGAGAAAGTGTTAGGGTCTGGAGTCAACCACCCCTCAAGGACAGAGAACAGAGCTGATAATGCAAATCACACAGCGAGGTTTATTGTTCCAGCTAGCTCGGGTCCAAGTATCCGCCTAGTGCGGTGGGTTTCAACAAGGACCCCGAGCACTAGGTTCAGCAAGTTCTTACAATTTCATTTTAGCAAGTGAGCATACTTAGCAAATTTCTATTACCTATAGAGTTCATTTTTTGTTGTTGTTTTGGCCCGCAACATCCAGCCCACTTCCTGACAGTTACATTCGGGAGACCTAATCTCATCCCGGGGACCTAATCTTTGACAAAAGCATCTTTTTTTTCTGCTTTAGCACTTTGTGACCCTCCACCCTTGTTTACCAGAAATGAGCTAGTTTCTTGTTCCTGGAAGAGGCCTAAGTCACTCAGAGGCCACAAAGCCTGTCATGGCAGTTCTCTGGCTAAGTGGGTCCTAACAAAAGGAAATCAGAAAACCAGCATCCCTGGGTGTGCCCACTTGCTCCCAGGGGACAAGGCACACCACAGAATGATCCTGGGCAGAGGCACCGGGAGGCACGTGCCCTAGCAGCACCTCATCCCTGGGCCCTCATGCTGCCCCCTGGCCTGGTGGTCCCTGGAGCACCCACCCAGACCCCTGAGCACAATGAGGGAGAACCCACAACAAAAGACTGCTCCCAGGATGCAGATATTTGCCAAGGGTCTTCAGCAGCTTTGTCTCTTCGCCTCTGCAGAGCCTCTGAAAGCAACGATCAGCCCCAGGAAGGTGAAGAGCAGCGTGGGCAGCCAGGTGTCCTTGTCCTGTAGCGTGACGGGCAGTGAGGACCAGGAGCTCTCCTGGTACAGAAATGGTGAAATCCTCAACCCTGGCAAGAATGTGAGGATCACGGGGCTCAACCACGAGAACCTCATCATGGACCACATGGTCAAGAGTGACGGCGGTGCCTACCAGTGCTTCGTGCGCAAGGACAAGCTGTCTGCTCAGGACTACGTGCAGGTGGTCCTCGAAGGTCAGTGGGCTGTCCCCTCCCCCCATTGAGCCTGAGCCCGAAGTGCACACACAGGGAGTCGAGCCAGTGGCGGTGCTGAGGACGTTTTGTACGAGTTCTTTCTCTCTGTCCTGCTGCTAGCTCTATTCTGATTTTGACTCGGTCAGAGCAGGCACGAGGAAAAACAAGTGTAGATGAACTGAGCATTGCGTATGTTAGAAGCTGCATCAGTCATATGGTTCCATGTAAACTAGTGAGAAACATACATGTGACCTATACATGTGTTCAAGGTAACCTGGAGAGGCAGAGCTCATAAAGTTCATGCCTGTAACTCTATTTGCCTCTGTTTTTAGGGGTTTCCATGCTGCCTCTTTTCTGTCCAAGTCACTGTAGAATTCTGAGTAACATCTTTAACTTCTACCCACTAAAGGCTGATAAAATTCCCCCCGGCCCTCAACATACTTTAAAGTTATGTCAGCCAAAAAATGTCCCCAGACACTTGCCCAGTGTCCTTTTGATTGGGGAATAAAATTTGGAGGGCAATGAAGAGCAGCTTCACAACTGCGTGCTTGATGAAGTGGGACAAAATAGTCCGCAGGGGTGGAGGACATAGGACAGGGGTTAAAGCACTTGCCTTGCATGACTCCTCTGTGAATCATCACCCCCCAGTACCACGTGGTCCTATGAGCATTCCCTAGAGTCATCTCCAAGCCCGGACCTAGAGGTAAGCCCTGCCAATATCTGGGCAAGTCACCCCCCTCAAAAATATATAGTATTCACATATTTCAGTGAGTGGAATGTGTGAGGAATTACCTCAGGGCTTTAATAATAGAATTTAAATCTTGAATGGTTTCCTTAATACCAACTGTTTACTTTATCTTCAAATTTATCAATAGCCTGGGAGAGAAGCTCTCAGGTGACAGTCACATGAGAATCATACTTATCAGCAGATAATTGCAGAGCTTTTATCTATTTTTGCATGCCCTGTTGGAAATGTTTTAAAATTCATCTGCTATCAATTGACTTAAATAATTACATGACATTCATGTAGCCTAAAGGGAAAGAAAAGAAAATCCATCTATATAGGAAAATAAGTTTCCCTATGTGTTGATGCTAGGAGATTTCTAGGACTTCACTTTTTTTTAAAAAACTATAGCTAGTATTTAAGAAGAGGCAGGCTTAGCAATGATATTCTTATTTTGATTCAAGCATTTTCTTGCAGACTGAGTTTTTGAAAGCAGAGATGAAATTAGCTGAAGGCATGGTACTCATTAAACGCCTGACACTGTGTTCCACATAATAATTAAGTGCAGAAAGTAATCAATTTGTACAGAGCCAGTTTGTTAACGAAGCACTATAGACCTTACATAGTCACTATTTTTAGGCTCTTTGTAGAAAAGGGAGAGATTACCTGTCTAATCCCGGTTACCTTGGCAACCATCTTGTGTGACTAAGAAAATCCAAAGAGCATATTGATAATCCATAATGATGCCCAGAGAGTTCAGGTTATCAGAGAGTGACAGCCAGAAAGATTTCAAAGACACCCGGTCTCACTGGGAAAATAACGTCTGCTTTCATCTCTCCAAAAGCCTGTCACTTGAATAAGAAAAGGGACTGAGAGCATCCCGAACAGACTCCTGGCTTTATTTGTCTGTGTCAATTTCCATTCAGGACGAAGGGCTTCACTTTATTTTTCCCTCTTCCGAGAGATGACAGTACTAATGTAGAAGAAGAAAGCAGAGAGGCAATTACAGATACATATCCAGGGTCTGCCGGAAATGGTCGTATCCACTGGCATGTCGCCTAATATTCCCACTGAAATCACCTCAGAGTGATGGAGATGATGAAAACCCAAAATACTTTGACCTCAGAATGGCCACTAAATTATAGCAAAATCTGAGATTATTTCCATTTGGGTCAAGCAGCTGGAAATGGATATCTAAGGTAACTCTTAGAAGGTAACTGTTCAAATATGTGCAAGACAGCACATAAGAGACAGAAGAATGTTCTAGATTGAAATTGTCTAAAGAGTGTTGGCAAAGTGTTAGAATCCGGAGTCCCCGAGAGGTGGCCAATCCTCCTTACCTCGGTCCTGTCCCAAACAGTTTAAACCTCATTATCAGGGTTGTCTGTTCTCCAGGAGGGGTCTTATCTCACTGGGGCTTCCAAAAGTTAGAGTCTAGAGTCGACCACGCCTCAAGGACAAGAGAACAGAGCCAGTAATGCAAATCACACAGCGAGGTTTATTGTTGCAGCTAGCTGGGGTCCAAGTATCTACCTGGTGCAGCGGGTTTCAACAAAGACCCTGAGCACTAGGTTCAGCAAGTTCTTATACTTTCATTTTGGCAAGTAAGCAATACTCAGCAATTTTATATTACCTACAGAGTACACATCTATTATGCTGTTGTTGTTTTGGCCCACAGCATCCAGCCCACTCCCTGACAGTTACATTCTGGAGACCTAATCTCATTCTAGGGATGTAATCTTTGACAAAAGCATCTGGTTTTTCTGCTTTTCTTGTTCCTGGAAGAGGCCTAAGTCATTCATAGGCCCCAAAACCTGTCATGGCAGTTCTCAGCTAAGTGGATCCTAAAAAGTATGCAATTCTGCTTGCAAAGGAGAAAAATAGCTATAAGGGGCAGCATTGCTTTATTGGGATTGCGTAAATGGGCCACACCTTAGACCAGAGGTTATTAAACTCATTTGGCCTACAGCCCCTTTTCAGAAAAAAAAAAATTACTCAACTCTTCCCCTTGGCGATTGGTCCACCTCTTTAAGAGAACAACCTGGAAGCTCCCCCCCACCCATTGCGCCTAAGGTTACTCCGAATTGTTCCATTCCCTCTTGCTTCCCACCAACCCCAAACTCTATTAAGGATGGTGTTATAGCAGTGGTCACAATGGAAAGAAGCGAGGGGCCTGAGAACAGATGCTGCATTTAGTACAAGACTTTATTTAGGAAAAGAAAGAAAAGGGAAGGAATTCCCCTAGGGATGCACCCAGGTTTGGGGAGAAGTCTCCTAAAGTAGGATTCCAAAAGAAAACTAAAGTCTTCCCTTTTTAATAAGAGTGGCTGAGCATTTATTTCTGTTCCAAGAGTGTGGTCCATTCAAATGGGGAAGAAAATGATGAGATGATTTTCTTCTAGGGTCTACCCTGAGGTCTGGGTCCCCTGAGGTTACCAGGCTCCCTCGGGCCCTTCCTCCCAGCCTCCTGCTAATTCTTTCCCTAAGGACCCCATCCCTAAACTTGCCCTGACAGTTTCCCTTCTGTCCCTAGCAATAGTACTGCTCCAGAGTTACAGTTTGTGACTTGAAATATACCATGTACCATGAAATATATATGCAAAGAATGCACATAGATGATTACATAGATTTGACTCTCAGGAGCAGAAACTAATATGGCAAGAAAAATAGAGCAGTGAGTGCCTGGGAGGGTGGGGATTGACTGAAAGAACTCCTAGGTGAATTGTAATTGTAAAGGTAAAGGTAAAGGCCCTCCCGTTGATCGTCGATTTGCTCGAGCGGGCCCAGTAACGTCTCCATTGGAGACTTTGTTGTTACTGTGTCTGGCATATCGAATACTCTCGGTAGCTTGCCGGGCTCTCCGATTTGTAATTGTAATTGTAAGGTGATAGAAAAGCTTTAAATCTCAATTTTTCAGTGTTCATATGAGTGTATATTCTTTGTGCATGCTTAAGATGATACTTTGTACTTTATGTCAACTTTCTCTACAAAAAGAAATATCCAAAAGAAGGAAGGAAGGAAGGAAGGAAGGAAGGAAGGAAGGAAGGAAGGAAGGAAGGAAGGAAGGGAAGAAGGAAAAAGAATTGCTGTATGAAATAAAAGCAGGGCAAAGAAATTTACAAATACATCTGGAAAAAAAAAAGATTGAGTTGTAAGGCTAAGTACACGGACCTCTGTGTTTCTGCATATCAACAACTGGTTATGTTGCGAAGAATCAGGGTGATGTCCAACTTCTCCACAGAATCAAATACAGGGCAAGTGACCAGTTCTCAGGGCAAAATGCAGGCTCTTCCTCTGATTTTAATGCAGACCATTAGCTCCTATTTTATAGGAAAGGGGGAGTTTTTGCAGTCAAGGACAGTAAGGGAAAAGTCAGGAATTTGCAGATGCAAAGTTCCTGAAGAGCCCTAGGGGACACTCCAGCAGCTGCCCTGATTCTTTTTTTTTTTCTTTTTTTATTAGTGAAACACCATGAGGTACAGTTATAGACTTATAAATTTTTGTCCTTGGGTTTCAGTTATACAATGATCAAGTGCCCGTCCCTCCACCAGTGCCCGTCATCCATCCCCACGGGTCCCAGCATCCCCCCCCACCCCTCATCCCACCCCCACCCCCCCCCGTCCCATCCTGCCTCTGTGGCAGGGTATTCCCCCTTGTTCTCTCTCTCTTCTTTTGGGTACTGTGTTTTGCAAGAGAGGCTTTGAGTGGCAATCATGTTTGGTCTATCGACTACTTTTAGCATGCTTCTCCCACCCTGGGAGGGCCCTCACAACACCCTTCATTTGGTACTCTCTTCTCTATCTGAGCTTCCTTTTCACCTAGAGCCTGTGGCTGGCCTTCCATTCATGGAGCAAAATTCCTGGTACTAATCTCAGCCATTCCTGGGTGTTAGTCTCCCTTTTTGTTGCTTTATGTTCCCCAGATGAATGCAATCTTTCTGTGTCTATCCCGCTCTTTCTGACTCATTTCGCTTAACATGATACTTTCCATGTAGTACCACTTGTATGTAAATTTCATAACTTCATCTTTTCTAACAGCTACATAGTACTCCATTGTGTAAATGTACCAAAGTTTCTTTAACCAGTCATCTCTTCTTGGGCACTCAGGTTTTTTCCAGATTCTGGCTATTGTAAAGAGTGCTGCAATGAACAAACAATTGCAGATGTCACTTCGACTATACCTTTTTGCCTCTCTGGGATATATTCCTAGGAGTGCTATAGCTGGGTCAAATGAGCTGCCCTGATTCTTATCTGGGGCTACTGGAGACGCTAACAGTTATCCTTCTAGGAGGGACATGCAAGCTTCTTGTAACCCCCTCCCCCCACCCCCCCTTTCTCTAATCAATAATTTCTATTTCTCAACATTCTATTTCTCAACATGCCCTAGTGCCTGCCAGCACCACCAGTTGTGGGCAGCATTGAGCTCTGGACCCTTGCATTGACCATGCACTTCTGCTGGATAAATATGGCTGAGAGGGCATCAGGTCCTCTGGGCACCACCTGTGACCCATCCTTGGTGCTCTCCCATCAAAACCTCCCCCTGAAAGATTTATGACCAGATACAGACGTCCTGTTGCATGTGGTCATTAGTCAGAATGACCCACTGCTGTCTAAACAGAAAGGTGTCCCCTGTGGAATCATATATGCTCAGGACTGGAGTGACTGTTAGTGACTTTTTCCATTTTTTGATTTTGATGTTCATATTTTTACATCTCTCTCTCTATCTCTCTCTCTCTCATAATGGTGAGGCTTAAACACATTTGACCTATTAGTGACTTTTTTGCTTTTGACTTTATATATTTTTAAATCTCCTCTCTCTCTTTCTCTCTCTCTTTATTTCTCTTTCTCTCATAATGGTGAGGCTTAAACACATTTGTGATTACTCCAAGAGTCACTGCTATTTCTGTTATAATAATTACATGGGTTTTAATGCGAATAGTCAGTATATGTGCGCAGAAAAGGATGGAACAAGTGATCTGCTGATCCCTACGGAAGGTAGTTGAATATTCTTATGAAAATTTCCTTGCTTGCCCAACACAGCCTTGGGAAGTGTTGGGTGATTGTTTGTGGCATCCACTTCATTCCCAAGTGTCCCAGCTTGGATGAGAAATGATGCAACCACTTTAGATAATGTTTGTCTCAGTAGATGCTGGTACGCCCTAACTGCCTTCAGCTTCTACACCCTCACAGTGCTCATGAAACCTATCACTGGCACTATATCACTGTCATCCGGTTGTTTATTGATTTGCTTGAGCGGGTGCCAGTAATGTCTCCATTCGTCCTAGCCCTGAGATTTTAGCAGCCTCTCCATACTCGTCCTTCCCAATGGTGCCATATTAGAGGCTCTTTCAGGGTCAGGGGAATGAGGCCCATTATTGTTACTGTTTTTGGCATGTCGAATATGCCATGGGGAGCTTGCCAGGCTCTACTGTTCGGGTAGGATACCCTCGGTAGCTTGATGGGCTCTCTGAGGGGGATGAAGATTCTTCATCCCATGAAACCTATATGCGTTTATTTTTCTTTTGCCTTTAATTCTAGAGAAGATGATTTCTTCTGAAAAAAGGCGTTAAAGATGCTACAGCTAAAGATGTCCTCTATTCCTCCAGGAAATGCCCTGGCTGGCAGCCCAGGGTCAACCTGAGAGTAGGGTCTGGAGAAGGCTCAGTGGGTTCAGAGCTTGCTGTGCCTATGGGTGCTCAGGATTAATTCTTGGCACTGCATGGTCCCCTGAGCACTGCTAGGAGTGAGCCCAGAGCACACCGCTTGGTCCAGTCCCTGGGTATCAGCTGTAATCTCTGAGTGTCAAAAACAAACAGAAATCCAAATTAACCTCGAGAGAATAACCAAGAGGTGTGGGATGGGATTGCATAGTTTGCTTCAGCTGAGGCCAGGCCAGTCTTGAGTCATAGGCATCCACGTAGTGAGATACTTCAATGCCAACATCCAGTTGGCATTATTGTTTTCCTTACTGTGGCAAGAAGGAAATGCAGGAATTTAGTAGAGCTGGGTAATACAATAGTTCTAGGGCGAGGGCAATGTGCCTGGCATCTAGAGGAATATGGGTTCAAATTCCAGCACCACAGAACCCTACCACATGATCTTCCTTAGCTTATGTATCTGTTTTGGAAAATGAAATCTGCTTGCATTTAGTTTAACCAATCGAACGAAACTTAAGCTTTGGGTTTCTGGTTACCCGCCATGTCCTCCTCATCCTGGTGAGGAAACACTGCCTTTTGGAAATCCCTTAACTTCTGTGTATGCCACTTCCTTCCATCCCTTGTCGCCCCACAGATGGAACCCCCAAAATCATTTCTGCCTTTAGCGAAAAAGTGGTGAGCCCAGCAGAGCCCGTCTCCCTCATGTGCAACGTCAAGGGGACCCCACTGCCCACCATCACGTGGACCCTGGATGACGACCCCATCCTCAAGGGAGGCAGCCACCGCATCAGCCAGATGATCACGTCAGAGGGGAACGTGGTCAGCTACTTGAACATCTCCAGCTCTCAGGTCCGAGACGGGGGCGTCTACCGGTGCACGGCCAACAACTCAGCGGGAGTCGTCCTTTACCAGGCTCGAATAAACGTAAGAGGTGCTTGTCAAATCAGCTCCTCAAAAAACACACATGACTCATTGGAGTGGGGGAGGAGGGGTTCTGCATGAACCGAGAGGGGGCTTGGAATGAATGCAAGGGAGGGACCGCGACTGCCCGTTCCTGCCCGTGCCCCTGCTCAGTAGGGGAGCAGATCTGGTTGAGGTTGAAGACGGCCTTTGGGTTCTGTAGTCAGTCTGGTATCTGGGTTCCCCTGAGAGTTACCCACTTGATCTCTCTTGGTTTATGCTCTGCATGGTCTCCCCTCCCTCCTCTTCTGCTCTACTTCTTCATTCATGGTAAAGCTCTGTGGACACTGTATCTTAACGTACAGCCATAGTGCAACCGGGCATAACCTCATCGCCATCACCTCTTTGATAGAGAGTTCAACCACTGAAAGCACAAAAAGAGCATGACTGTCCTGGTCAGACGAGTCACTTGTATGGACTAAAGTGTCTTTTCTCGACATTGAAAGCATTTTAATGGTGGTTGAGCAATTAAATTATTCAAAAGTCATTGGGTTTCTTGGAAAGTAATGAAAACAAAAGCACAAACCAACCAACAAAAAAGCCCCTTCTTAGTAGAAAATGTTAATTGGAAAAAAAATAGTGCCTACACGCAAATAATCTACACTGTTCAATTCAAGGAAATGTGTACCTATTTCTGCACATGAGGCATACCCTTAAATTATTTTCAAGAGTTCCTTTGTGTCTCTCCAGGGCCTGCAAGCATTCGACCAATGAAAAATATCACAGCAATAGCAGGGCGGGACACATACATTCACTGCCGTGTGATTGGCTACCCTTACTACTCCATCAAATGGTACAAGAACTCTAATTTGCTTCCTTTTAACCATCGCCAAGTGGCATTTGAGAACAATGGAACTCTAAAACTCTCGGATGTACAAAAGGAGGTGGACGAAGGAGAGTACACATGCAATGTGCTGGTTCAGCCTCAGCTGTCCACCAGCCAGAGTGTTCACGTGACAGTCAAGGGTAAGTGATTCTTCTATGCCCAGCTTCACTAGACCAGTGCCCAGGAACCAGGAATTTGCATAGTAAGCTCCGGAGGGCTGGAGAGAGAGAGAAAAGCCAGAGCATGTTCAATGCTTTCTCTTACCACCACCTCTGCCCAATGCCTGTAGCCCATTCATTTTCATGTGATTGTTTGACTTGTGTTTTTCTGAGAATGTGCATTGAAACAGGATTCTAGGAAACAGAAACATGTTACCACATTAGTTATCTATCTCTCTAGCAGACAATTCTAGAAAATTTATCCTTCTTTTCCTGAAAACCTCAAAAATATTTCAGAGTCCAACCAAACAAGAGATACTGTAGTAAACAATACACCTCAACTTGAGTAGAGGTGCAGGTCAAACTGTGTTTGAACCATATCATTAAGGGGCCCCATGGAAAATGTTCCTGAGTTTTAAATTCTGCTTTCCATGCTGACATCTTGACAAGGATGATCGTGGAAGCTGGCATTAGGGTGAAATTGCGATATCGGGTGAGTCAGCTTCGGTTTCCTTCAAAGACCAACAAACCCAAAGGTTTCTAATTGCAGATCTTCAGGGACACCATGTTTTCCCCCCAGGTTAATTCCCTTGCCTGTACATAAGATGAGACTTTCCAAACATGCAGGTAAGCAACATAAAGGGGGGGGGGTGTTGAAAATAGGCTTGAAATATTTGGAGGTGATTTGAGAAATTGGGGGAAGCAGCCTCCTGCTGTATTAGTCTTATGGCCCTGCTCTAAACTCATCCCCTGCATTCCCGTGACCATGATTGTCTCAAATCCTTTGGACACAAAACTGCAGAGGTTTCTCTGATCTTCTCCAACTTTGCGCACAAGCTCTGTGAGCAACACTTTTTAGCAACACTTGTAGTTGCACACATATACACACTCTATGATGTGTGTAAACGTTATCTGTTCCATCTAAAGTATTGTTACATGTGATTTGCCACACATACTAATGTGTAAATTAACGTGTAAACAAATATTGAAAGTTTTTTCATTGCCATGTGTCCAAGAGTTTTCTCAAATTATTAGAAATTCTGCTTAAATGAGAATGGCCATAGGAGCACAGAAATCCAGGTAGCGGTAATACTTCTTTAAACCTGACTTACAGGCTCTGCCTCACATATATAGGCACTGATGTGGGCTTGGAAGGAAACAATGATAAAGAAAGAGAGAAGGTTCTTTCACTCACAAAGCTCCCCTTCCAATCACAGAGACAAGCAATGACTGTATCTAACAGTGACTAAGCCACAAGTTACTGTCTAGTCTTCAGAGCTGTGCCAAAAAGTAAAACCTACAGTGTCTCTGAAGTGAGTCCCAGGAGAGAGACGTTCCATGCATTGTGTGTTCTCTGCTTACTTCCATGGGTTGCTCTGTTACACCCTCTGAATGGACATGGAACATTTGGAAGGAACAGGTTCACTGAGTTAAACATGGCTTCCAAATGTTTACCCAATTCAGTACACATGTAAACCATCATACGATCTCACAGGTGGCTGGCAGAGTGTTACACTCGTTTCTTTATTTTCTAGGAAAATGTCTGCCAAGGGCACTTGCCTGAGTAACAACAGTCTTTAGTTCTGTAACTCTTTAAACTTTATCTTGAGAAAAAGTAGGTGGAATTCTGTGACAAGGAGCACTGACTGAGGCTGTAGCTGAAAGCACAAAGCGTGTTCCTTGCGGGGATGTATCTTGCTCAGTGTCCAAAAGAGACCCCTTCCACTACCTCCCCCTGTATCACACCGGCATTCACAAAGACAGAATGTGTGAGTCGTGAGTTATTACACTGATAGTTGTTTCTACTGTTTCGTCAAGTGTCCTTGAGTGAAGCCAGGCTCAGTGGAATACAGCTGGGTCTGTGTGAAGTGATGAGTGCGGAAAGTCCTCAGACACCCTGGTGTTCCTGCAGGGGTTGATACTAGGCCTTCATGTCAAGGCGCTCTTGCAAAGTCCTGATATATACCAAATGCTTATCTTCTAGAACCTCCTCCTCCCAGCCTCCACCCCCTCCCCGACTTACACATCCCTACAAACAAATGGCTGTCATTTTGTTTTTGTCATTGGGTCATAGCCAGAAGTGCTAAGGGTGTCCTCCTGCTGTGTGCTCGGGGATCAATCCTGGCAAGTTCAGGGAACCATATAGGATGCTGGGGATCAAACCCAGGTTGGCCCCATGTGTACTATCTCACCCCAACCTACGATCTGCACTCTAAAAATATCTATTCTAATTCTAAATATTTAGCTTACCGCTAGTGCTTCTTCACCATGATGATAATATATCAAATAAATTGCTTTATACATTAGCCTTTGTCTGCCTTTTCATATTATTTATTTGAGGAAAAATTGTAGGAAATATGACTGTTTGGCCATACAGATATAAATATCTTAAGGTCAATTTTTAGGAGACATAAATTCAAAGAGAGGCCATTTGAATCATTAACATTTATTTTTAAAAGATTCTAGTTCATCATAAATCTAGGTATTCAACATGATCCGTTTGAGTTGAAATAATACCAAAAAACCCACTTAATTAGCCTTTGCCCACCCCCCTCAAAGAAAATGTATTAGATTTTTATAATACATCTGTGATACTAGCGAACAGTTTGATCAACGTCTTTTAAATGCCAGAGTCAGGGGCTGAAGCGATAGCACAACTGGTAGGACATTGGCCTTACACGAGGCTGACCTGGTTTGATTCCCAGCATCCCATATGGTCCCCTGAGCACTGCCAGGAGTAATTCCTGAGTCCATGAGCCAGTAGTAACCCCTGTGCATTGCCAGGTGTGACCCAAAAAGCAAAAAATAAATAAAAATTTTTTAAATAAATAAATCACTGTATCACCGTATCACTGCCATCCCATTGTTCATCGATTTACTCAAGCAGGCACCAGTAACATCTCCATTCGCCCCAGCCCTGAGATTTTAGTAGCCTCTCCTTACTCGTCTTTCCCAACGCAGCCATATTGGAGGCTCTTTCAGGGTCAGAGGAATGAGACCCTTTATTGTTACTGTTTTTAGCATCTTGAATATGCCACAGGTAGCTTGCCAGTCTCTCCAGGAGGCATATATGTGTGTGTGTGTGTATATATATATATATATATATATATATATATATATATATTCGGAGAGCCCGGCAAGCTACCAAGAGTATTCGATATGCCAAACACAGTAACAACAAAGTCTCCAATGGAGACGTTACTGGGCCCGCTTGAGCAAATCGATGATCAACGGGATATTGCTGGCCCTCCTGTTGATCGTCGATTTGCTCGAGCGGGCCCAGTAACGTCTCCATTGGAGACTTTGTTGTTACTGTGTTTGGCATATTGAGTACATCACAGGGAGCTTGCCAGGCCCTGCCGTGGGGACGAGATACTCTCGGTTGCTTGCCGGGCTCTCCGAGAGGAGCGGAGGAATCGAACTCGGGTCGGCCATGTTGGCTGCGTGCAAGGCAAACGCCCTACCTCTGTGCTATCGCAGCGGTAGGGCATTTGCCTTGTGTGCAGCCAGTCCAGCTGAGCCAAGTTCGATTCCTCCGCCCCTCTGGGAGAGCCTGGCAAGCTACGAGAGTATCTCACCCACATGGCAAAGCCTGGCAAGCTACCCGTGATTTATTCAATATGCCAAACACAGTAACAACAAGTCTCAAAATGGAGATGTTACTAGGCCCTCTTGAGCAAATCAATGAACAATGGGAGGGCAGTGACAGTGATATATATATATATATATATATATATATATATATATATATATATTTCCACACATATGGGCTGGAGCGATAGCACAGCAGTGGGGTGTTTGCCTTGCACGCAGCCAGCCTGGCTGAGCTGGCTTCAATTCCTCCGCCCCTCTAGGAGAGCCTGGCAAGCTACTGAGAGTATCTTGCCCGCACAGCAAAGCCTGGCAAGCACCCATGATGTATTCAATATGCCAAACACAGTAACAACAAGTCTCAAAAAAATGGAGACATTACTGGGCCCGCTCAAGCAAATCGATGAACAATGGGAGTGACAGATTTGTTGCCTAAATAAATAAATAAATGCCAGAGTGTCTGTTCCTGTAAGCCAGTGTGTGTGCCACTGACAGTTTCCACTCTTGGGCAAGGACCGAGAGCAGAAGCAAAGGGGTAAATTGTGCAGCCTCTCATCACGGTTGTGTGAGGAGGCTTGGCTGGCAGCGAGGGGCCCTGGGTGGGTTTGCAATCTGCAGGATTTTGCAGGGTCATAGGGCAAGCCTCCTTGGAAGGAGAGGCATGAGCAAGGACATCGAGGAGTGAAAAAGAGCCAAACCGTGAGCCGGAGAGCACCAGGCCCATGGAGGTAAGCTATGGGAAAGGCCTGCCCACCCCACAGGAGTGGAAATGCTCTGGCCGGAGCCCAGGGAGCAGGGACCAGGGAGAAAGAACATCCCAGGAAGAGCAGACGCAGGTGGGACCAGGGCTGCAGGTGTCTCAGCACTTCCTGCTGTCTCTGCAGGAGCTGGAGCTAGGTTAGAGCAGGGAAAACAGAGGAATCGCAAGAGCTGACTTAGACTCCCTGACACTTCTTCCCCGGGTGCTGAGGACAGGCCAGCAGGAGAAGGAGCCAGGAGAGCGGCCTTGGGCCTGGGCCTGGAGGATGCGAGGAGCAGGCTGGGAGCAGACAGGAGTGGGAGAGTCTGAGTGGTTTGTTTCTTTGTTTTACATTCTGAAGAACTTGCATGACGGATTGTTCGCCGTTAGAGTTTGGGACAGGGCTGGAGTGATGGTACAGTAGGTAAGGCGTTTGCCTTGCACGCATCTGACCCTGATTTGATCCCTGGCATCCCATAGGGTCCCCTGAGCACTGCTAGGAGTGATTCCTGAGTGCAGAGCCAGGAGTAACCCCTGAGCATCGCCGGGTGTGACCCAAAAAACAGAAGAAAAAAGAAGGGGAGGGGGGAGACTGGAGCTATAGCACAGCAGGGAGGGCATTTGCCTTGCATGTAGCAGACCCGGGTTTGAT